CGTGCAGTCTGGGTCGAGAGCTTTCGGCCACATCATCCTGCAAACCTCGGCTGGACGTCTGTATGAGACTGTCTGCACCTCCTAACTGCTGCTGACAGGGTGAGGAAACTGCTTTCTTCTGACTGCCTCTGTTTTATTGAAATGCTTGGCCGTCAATTATTCTTACAATAAAGAAATAACTGAGAAACTTTCTTTACATTTGTGCTAAATTTAAATAACCTGCCCAGGGTACCAGGATTAGCAACATCCACGTAGCTTTTGGGAAGCATTATAATGCTCACATCCATATTTGGTGTAGCAGCTGACCGGATGGAGACGTATGTGTACGTTACGTTATTGACATTGGGTGTCACGATCAACGTACGTCGCTTAACGGTCACCGTGTTTTAAAGGATATGAAGGACTTTTGAGGCGTTTAATCGTTTTAAGCAGGTTTTATACTTATGCAGCGTTATTTTCAGAGCAAAATGAAGAGGAGGACGTTTTATAACAGAGGTTGGTCTCTCTGCAGGTCATTTCCTCCTCATCATATGAGCTAGCTACTAGCTACCTGACTGTTGAGCAGCATGTTCTTTAACGTGGAAGCGCAGTTTCCCCTCTGCAGGTAGCTGCTCGGATATAATCCCAGAGTCTGACTAATATGGCTCCAACAGTCCGTTTCGTCCGCTAACTACGGGGAGCACACTTCTCCTGCGAGCATGCTAGGACCAGGAAACATACAGTCAAGAAAGTTCGTACCTTAAACTGTTGCCTCGTTCAGAAAATGTCAGAAATAAAACATTAAGAGTGTAAACACAAACTGGTGTTGTCAGCGTATTCAAACCGAGAACGTCACCTCTCACCCGGACATAGACGGTCATGTGATCACACCGAAACGGAAACTTCCCGCCTTGAGCGACACCTGCTGGCAGGAAATATTTACACGTCTCTGTTTATTCTCTTTGTCAGCGCGTTTGCAGCTGCCAGACGTACGTCCTTCAGCAAACACTATTTTCACCCTGTTAACATATATGAGGTTGTTTAAATTGCTTAGTAATTAACCACCACCTTTAACCACAAAGGTTTGTAGTTGTTTTGGGGCTGGGTCACCTTAGTTTGAGCTTTCTGGGAGTTGTCGTCAGATTTGTTTTACACCAGCGGTCCCCAACCCCCGGGCCTCGGACCGGGACCGGTCCGTGAGTCGTTTGGTACCGGGCCGCGAGAGTTGAGGCTCGGGTGTGAAATGTATGGTTTTCAGGGTTTTTATCGGTTTTCAGCGTTATTTTGTTATCGTTTTTATCGTTTTTATCGTTAACTCGGTTTTCCTGGGTCTTTTCACGTGTGTTATGAATAAATCTTCTTTTTTTCGGTACCGGTACTAGTTTTATTGTGTTGTATTTATCCGCGACACCTTAAAGGCCGGTCCATGAAAATATTGTCGGGCATAAACCGGTCCGTGGCGCAAAAAAGGTTGGGGTTAGGTTTTACACACTAACAAACAAAGCTAGAATCACGCTGTTTTATTTTTACAGCAGTGAAAATAAATTAATATTGTCTTTACACTATAGTCTTGTGTAAAGACAATATTAAGTTTACTGTTAGTGCAGAAACTCAGCCAAGCCGGCTCATGAAACTGTACATGTTGGCAAATTCAGTTGTGTAAATCCACAAAGAGCAGTAGGTCAGCGGATTACAGCATGTACACAAAGAAAATCTACTAGAGCTCACATTAGAAATTATTGTTAGTTGTGACAAGTCTACAGTTTCCCCCACCTAGCAGATCTCACTTTAACCCCTGACTGTACCCATTTTCCTGTTTAGGTACTTTGTCACTTTTCCTTGCATAAAGAAGTTAATTCAGTAATTCAACTAATACTGCAGTATTTGTTTTAACACAGGTACCTGTACTTCTACTTAAATACAGAATGTCTGCACTTTTCCCACCTGTGGTTATGAGTCCCATTCACAGAGAGGTGGGGAATGACTACAATCACAGCAGTGTAAGATTGGGAAAGGTGTACGCTAATATGTACCTTCTCCAATATCAGCATGGAGGAGACGAAGGCATTCACATGGATTTCAGTGGATGCACTGTGTATATGTATGAGGTATTGAGGCCTCATGGTTGTTTTAGATTATGTTTATTTTAAGTACTTATTTCTCTTTATTATGTTTAAGAAATTAGCAGCAGGAAAATAAGTTCATGTCCAAATATATGTTACATTACATGTTTAGCAGATAACGATCTCTTTATTATCTAATTCATTTCTTGTTACACTTTACATAGAAACAGGAGCTGAAGTGTTATTTGCGCTTAATTTCAATAAAGGAGCTGGATTCCAAGCCACGTTTTTTATGAACTGAAACACGAAGAGTAGGTCTCCTCTGTTCAGAGAGGGTAAGAGGGTACCATCTTACAGTGCTCTGATTGCAGCCATCCCCCAACTCTCTGTGTATGGTACTCACAGTCATAATCATCATGACCTCACAGGCCATTGTTAGTCAGTCGTGTCAGTTTCGGTCATTATGCAAATGACTGAAACTGGCTATAAGGTTAAGGAAACCTACTTCCAGCTGTCCATTTGTCCATCCATTATCAGCCCGTTTCAGTTTAAGCGATGTTTTCAATAAATTGAGTGCTGAAAAAAAATGTTTTGTAGCACTAACATTTCTTCTTGTTGCATGTTGAAGCTCGAGTTCAAACCTTGTTAAGAACCAACCATGCAAAATATGATTTTCATGCCATTTTCATGCCATTTCATATAGAGTTTTATGGGGTAGCTGAACTACGTTGTAAACCTTATCTTCCACAAGAATGATGTTTGAGGTAGAATTTTCTTTCATTTTACTCTTTTCCACAATTTTGTCATATAGATTTTGGACAACAAAAATATTCCTGGTGAGCTTTCTAAATGTCCTCAGCAGTGATTTTCAGAAGGGTAGCACAGGGCTGTGACTCATCCATATAAGCTCTAGAAAGATCAGTCATGATGGTCATGACATAGTGTTAAACCTGCCACTTTTGTATTCCGCTGTAAAAGACAACTCCTGGTGGCAAAGAGCCCAACAAATTAACCTTGTACTGGGTTTATGAGTTTTAAAAATGCAGACAAAACAAAAATGTTGGGAGACTATGGTAATATGTCGACCCTCTGGATAGTAGGGTAATTTTTCCAAGGACCAGGTGACAGCAAGTCATTCTTGTTCTGTATTGGAGTCGAATTGGTTGAGCCAGCACTGAACCCAATACTACGTCACTGGTCCTGCATAGACAATGATGGGTGACCTGGTAACCCCAACCCTGGTACAGTTTAACACCTGGGAGTTTCTTTATGCTTCTGGGATTCAGTGGTTCTGTGAGCTGTGAGAACTGGGGCAGAAATTGTTGGTAGCACTCATGCCCAGTGTTGGGTGTAACGCGTTACTGTAATTAAATTACTTTTCCACTGAAAAAGTAGAGTAACTGATTACTCGCTGAATATCATTATTTAATATCAATAATTTGTCTTCTAAAGGTAAAGTAAACTCTGTCGCTTTAACATCGCTGTAGTGCAGCTGCGCGTCATTTCGCGCCAGTTTGCTGCACAGTCGTTTTCTAAAGCGGAAGATGTCGCACTCGGCTGAAGCCTGTGGCTGTTTTATGATATGGACATATTCCCGTCTCTTCACTTTTCTGAAACAAGCAGACAAGAACATTACAGTAATATGTAAAAACTATCGGCTGCTGTTAATAGCAGGAGTAATCTGCTGAAGCGCCTGACACAGAGCATAGACGAACACTTCTGAGTGATCCTTGTTCGTCATCCATGGATATCACCGCGGCAACTGCTGCTAAGCAGCAAAACCTGATTTTACTTCAGCAGCACAGAAAGCGTCTGAAGGTGAGCTTAAAAAATGACTGCAGGCAACA